GTTCAGATGCTTGGGTTTTGGATGTTACTTCCTCTACGTTGCGTGCTCGTGGCCGTAGCTAACCAACTGTACGTTCGGGCCAGGACCTCATTCCACGAAGTCTTTCGGTTTATTTTCACTATTGCCAAGGGAAGAGGTAGAGTTGGCCTTATTCGCTTTTTCTCGTTTAGGATATTGTTTTTGTTCGTGTTTCATGCTGTAAAAAATAATTTATGCCATAGTTATTCAGACGAAGGGATAGTGTTGTCTTTCTTCTCTCTTGTAACACCAGTGAGACCCATTACTATCCTAAATAAAACCAAAAAAGTACTCTAGCCATTTTGTTAGACTTGAGCCAAGGACCAGTTCTATGCTGCCGCTGCCATGGTTACACAGCAAAGCCGAGTCACTCTCCACGGTCCCGGATTTCGTCCTCAACCAGAAAAAGGCACCCTCCTCCTGCTCCTCTTTTTCTCTTTCTTCTCCCCCTCCTCCTCTTGTCTTATTTCTCTCTTCTTTTGCTTTTGCTTCTACCCCTCCTCCTCTTCCATTTCTTCTTCCCCGCTGCTTTTTCTTTTCCCTCCTGCCCAACCTCCTCTGCGTTTTCTTCCTCTTCTTCTCCTCCTCTCCTCTTCTTCTTCCTCCTCCTCCTCCCCTCCCCCCTCCTCCTACCACCTCCTCCTCCTCCTCCCCCCTCCTCTACCACCTCTCTCCTACCACCTCCTCCTCCTCCTTCCTCCTCCTACTCCTTCCCCCTCCTCTACTCTCCCCCCTTCTTACCACTCCTCCTCCTCCTCCTTCCCCCCTCCCTACCACCCCCCTACCACCTCCTCCTCCTCCTCCGTTCCTCCTCCTCCTCCTTCCCCCTCCTCTACCACCTCCTCCTCCTCGACGGTGTAATTGGCCAGCCGTAACCGCATAGTGTTCTCTCGCGAACCTCTTCCTCTGGCCGAGTCCCCGGCGGCGGCGCTCGAAGCCGAGAAAAGCGAATCTGTTTTGTGCTTCGCGAGGAAGGGAGAAGGACGCCGCCGGTGCCTCTTGCAGGGCCTTCTTGTGGGGGGGGGTTCATGCTCTCTTGGGGCTGGCAGAAGGCGCAGTCGGGTGATTTACATGCATATGGAGATAAATTGCATTAGATTAATGTATTATTGTATCTAAATTTATTTATCTATCTGTCTATATAATCTATATTGTGTGTTGTGCGTGTGCGTGTATGTGGGTGTGTGCGTGTGCGTGTATGTGTGTGTGTGGTGTATGTGGTGTGTGTGCGTGTGCGTGTTGTTGTGGTGTGTGTGCGTGTGTCTATGTGGGTGTGTGAGTGCGCGCGTGTGCGTGTATTTGAGAACGTGTAATGAAATATATAGACCCACATGCTTTGCATAACTAACACGAGGGTAAATAATGCCAAATTGTTTAAACATATTATTATTATTATTTTGGCACGCAGAGCAAGGCAAAATTTCTGTCTGTGAATCCCAAGTTATCGTATACAAAAAAGTAATCTTATATGTCTCTCAGAGATTTCCTCAAATAAAACGACAGACCTCTATGTTTCTGTTCACGCGAATTGTAGGCCTATGCTCCGATCAGTCTATTTTCATGGCGTGGAGTCAAGACCTTCGCCCGAGATTGGTATGAGCAGAACTCGCCCCTGGCATGGCCGGCATGGACTTCCGAGGCCTGGTATGGTCGGAATGGACTTCATTATGTGGTGTTAGTTATGTGGAATCTTTCCCCCAACAATATCAGAAGAATGGCCACAGTTACGGGAAGAAATACACGGAAAGTGAACACAGGAATCCATGCTGTTTTATATCGGGTAAAGCCTTCTATTATCATTTTTTGGTATCATAATAATGGTTTTTTTTGTTGTTGTATTTTTGTTTTTGCAATTATGATTGCTATCATTTAGTTATATGTGTTATTATCATTAGAATAATCATCATCATTATCAGTGTTGCTGCTATTATCGTTGTTGTCATTTAGTTAAACGTATGTAATACAGGTGGATGTTACTGCGGGTTTTCGGACCGAAGTGTAGCGCCAGTGACTGTCTTGCAAGTCACCTCCATTGCAAGAAATGTCAGCGGCTTGCCTTTGGTGTTGCGAAGGGCGCTTGCATACGCAACTCCGAAACTCAGATTTTTTTTTTATGTTGATTTTGAAACAGTGCAGTGTTGATTATTTTTCTTTTTCTTTTCATGTGAAGGGTTTAAGGTAACATTTGTATTCAGGACAAGGACGTGCAATGCATGAACACACACACGCACACACACACGCACACACACACACACACACACACATCCCACCCATCCACTCACTCACCATCCCACCCACCCCCACCCATCCACTCACTCATCCCACCCAACCCCCGCCCATCCACTCACTCACCATCGCCATCCACCCTCCCACCATCCACACCATCCCACCCAACCCCCGCCATCCACTCACTCACCATCCCACCCAACCCCCGCCCATCCACTCACTCACCATCCCACCCAACCCCACCCATCCACTCACTCGCCATCCCACCCAACCCCATCCCACCACTCATCCCACCCAACCCCCGCCCATCCACTCACTCACCATCCCACCCAACCCCCACCCATCCACTCACTCGCCATCCCACCCAACCCCACCCATCCACTCACTCGCCATCCCACCAACCCCCGCCCATCCACTCACTCACCATCCCACCCCACCCCCGCCCATCCACTCACTCACCATCCCACCCACCCCCGCCCATCCACTCACTCGCCATCCCACCCAACCCCCGCCCATCCACTCATCACCATCCCCACCAACCCCCCCCATCCACTCACTCACCACTCCACTCACTCACCATCCCACCCATCCACTCACTCGCCATCCCACCCAACCCCCACCCATCCACTCACTCACCATCCCACCCAACCCCCGCCCATCCACTCACTCACCATCCCACCCAACCCCCACCCATCCACTCACTCACCATCCCACCCAACCCCCGCCCACCACTCACTCACCATCCCACCCAACCCCCACCCATCCACTCACTCACCATGCCACCACTCCACTCACTCACCATCCCACCCAACCCCCACCCATCCACTCACTCACTCCCACCATCCACTCACTCACCATCCCACCCAACCCCGCCCATCCACTCACTCGCCATCCCACCCAACCCCCCCATCCACTCACTCCCATCCCACCCAACCCCCACCATCCACTCACTCACCATCCCACCCAACCCCGCCCATCACTCACTCACCATCCCACCCAACCCCCGCCCATCCACTCACTCGCCATCCCACCCACCCCCACCCATCCACTCACTCACCATCCCACCCAACCCCACTCACTCACTCCCACCCAACCCCCGCCCATCCACTCACCACATCCCACCCAACCCACCCATCCACTCACTCACCATCCCACCCAACCCCCACCCATCCACTCACTCACCATCCCACCCAACCCCCACCCATCCACTCAGCCAGCCTTCCCTTCCCTATCCTTCCCTCTCCCTTCGACCGGGTTGCACGGAAGCCCAAGAGCTGCCTGGCGGGTTCTCCTCCGG